CGTGGCCCCCAGGGAAAGCGTTGTTGGAAAAAAAACTGCACCACGAAAACGTCTCTTTTTCACCTAAAGAATCGACTCCTTCAATATTCGTACTTAATCCCGGGACACCCTGTATACTCGTACACTTGTCTCGTAAGAAGTGAAAAATTCACTCTTAAAATTTCGCAAAAGATGAATATATTTTCAAAAACTCGCTGGGGCACAGTAGAGTTCTTTTTACTTCTTTGAAGATCTCTATCTTATTTCAAGATTTTCAGTATAAAATGATACATTTCATTATTGCGTTTCCTTTTCTTCCGTCGTCCGATGATAAGAGTCTCTAGTCTGCGGGCATCCTCGACTTCAATGTTTATGAATTTCAATGCAACTGTGTACTTATAAGTCTTCCATTCAGGAGGCAATGACAGATTGAGGCACGAATTTCCGTGTCTGTCACATGTTTTCATAAGAAACGTCACATGGTTCTCTTCAAAATAATACGTAGAATACGATTCACACAATGAAAAGTTCGGAAATCACCTCTCGAGCGAAATATTAACAAGCCTTTTTAACACAGATTAAAGGGAAGTCAGATCATATAAATGACGTCATTTTTTTTCTTGCCATTTAACCAATATTAATTCTCAACACTCGTATCTTGTTTAGAAGTTATCTTCAGACTTCTCGTCGTGAGGTTCACTTTTGTCCGAAATTTTAAGAGAAAATGTGTTTTGTGGTACTGTGATTCATACCTTGCCTAGAGGCCCATTTATGAGGATTGCTTACTGCTCAAAGGATCAATTTTTTTACGGTTTTTAAGGGCGCACTAATTCAACCATACGTACATTAACTGATCTTGAATTCAACGTTTAATTTCCTCAGAAACGGATATGTTCGTCTTTATACCTACAATGCTGATTATATATTTAGTACCACAACCTTAGAAAATCGTTTGTTCGCGAGTTTTGACTGCGAAACCAACGAGAAACACCGTCCTTTCGGGCTACTGGAAGCCGCGAGGGTGCTGATCCTCATTCATTTCGGAACTCGCCCGTTGCCACGTCTTGTCCGGCTGCACTATGCGCCAGTGTACAGTAATCGCAGTGGAGGTGGATGAGACCTATGTCTGTCCCAGATAGAAAGAACGATGGAAAATCGGAATAATTAGCACCGTAATATAAAGGCAAGATAGCGTTCGGGCCATCGTTACCGGTCAGACCCTGCCAACCCCACGGCATGCGGCACCGCGCAGAGGGTTGGTTACATGCTGCGCGCCGCGTGGCGCAGCGGCGCATTGCGCCGGGAATCGGAAACTGAAAACCCGGAGGTGCATCCCTCTGTGCGACGCGCGTGAAAGGCGACCGGTGACGAGGGTGTGTGCACCTCCACCCCGCCAAATAGTACCAATTATTCCGATTTTCCATCTTTCTTCTTATCTGGGACAGACGTCGGTTATGTATCGTCATCTGAGTGTGGATTAATGAGGGACGGCTTCAAATAGCCCGAAAATCTGGTTTTTAATTGGATTCGCAGTCATAACTCGTGAGGAATAAATGTTCCCGTGTCACGATGAAGACTTTATAATAACAAACATTCGTTTCTGGCGAAATTAAAAAAGAGTACATCTATACAAATAAAATCGTTGGGGTTTCTTAGCAACGCTTATTTCTGGAGTTCTATACCGGACCAATTTCGACGACGCTTGATTCCAGTAAAAGGTCTTGACTTCCAGATACTCGCAAAATTGTCAAACGTCCAAATTTTTCAGCCTATTTTGCCTAAGACGCCTGTGTATCTTAAACCTGTCACAGCGGCGCGGCGCGGCGCGATGACAAGGATTCACATATATGTAATTTCTCTTTTTATTTTTTATATCCAAGTTGCATGGACCTACATAAATTTAATTACCACTTTGGGGGGCCATTAGGGGGGGAAAGAGCCCCCTCCCGCCAAAAAAAAATTTGGGACTCTAAGTAATTTTTTCAAAGATCTTTCAGAAAAAAATTTTTATTTCAAAATCCATGATCCAAAATTAATTCATGCAATAGAGGGTTAACCTTTTTCCCTCTATACTTGACACTTTTTATGCACGATGGTGCAATTGCAACAAACGTGTAACTTGGTTCAAAAATTTGCAGACTTACTTTCAAACTTTTTTTTTTTTTGAAACAGGAGACCACTTAATATAATCCCTTGATAGCTTTTACGGATTTTCTCCTAAGCCATGCTGTTGGTTTGTCCTCATTAAAAAAAAATAATAAAATGGAAGCGTAGATTTTGAAATACCACACATAAGATACGCGTTTCTGAATCCTCAAAACACGTTTCATTGTCATCGTGCCTCTCACGCATAACGAAATCAAGTCTCCTTTTTTCTTCTTTATTTTTAAACTAGCCGCTGTGGCTCGCCTCGCGTCTAGCCGAGGGCTCCGCCCCCTGGACCCCCGGTCACTCGCTTGGCGAGTGACTTACGGCTCGCAAGCGAGCCGTATTCCGTGCCGTAAATGCAAAAAGATGATAAAGTAATGTAATCCAATAAGAACTCTTTTCTGAATACATGAATGCCAATTTGATCTTAAACGTCTGAAAATTTCATGGGGAAAATATTCATAATTTTCCTCAAATATAAACATTTTATCGAAGAAAATTTGGCAACTCTCGAATGTTCATATGTCGTTCTTCCTTAGCAGGGCAGAATTGCAAACACTGCGCTTTAAAAAAGAGACCATTTTCGGTTTTTTTCTAAATATTCGGACATAATTCCAATAAAAATACAATGAGAGCATTAGCGCGAGGTTTGGATGTCGCTCCCTGGTCGAAAAATCATGTTTTGACTCGTCTGCCGACAAAATCTCGTCAAAGCGTTCAAGAATAGCTGGGCCTGGACTTGAGTCAGGAGACCAGGCGGCAGCAATAGATCTCAATTCGTCATCCTTTTTTCCCTTCCTGCTCGGCCTAGTGGAGCTCCAAAAAAATTGATGAAATTTCTCTCATCGGGTTCGATTTCAACTTTCTCAGTAAATTTACGCTCTGCTAAAAAAGTACATTACAATGAACTAAACTTCGTCGTGATATGTTGATAAGTAACGGAAATATAGTTCAGCAAGTTATAAATGCAGCAGTTGTGGTATCGATCTTAGTGTACCGTAGAATCATGTATTTTCACTAGTTTGACCACCATTCTGCTCAAAATTTCACCGCGAATCGAAAAATGTACACTGTAAAAACAATTTTCGAATGATAGAAAAAATTGCATTTTTACTGTCTTTAAATTTTGAGGGTCAGATTTTGTTTGGCATATGAGACAATAGGGCTGCGATCCCGTAGCGGGCAGTCTCGGTCTCGCGGGTTATTAGACAAAAGGACGGGAAAACCCATGTCATCGCGCCGTTTCGACAGTTTTATGGAACCACGTGGCTGCGGCGCGGCGGCTTCCTCTTATTCAGACAGAGCAGTGCTGAGACAGAGTCCGAGTTTGACCTTCGGCGTTGGGTGAAGGCTGTGTAGTAGTAATATGGAGAGGGGTATATTTGCATCGCTCAGCAGTTTACACATCGTCACCCCCCAGGCAAAGTATCACAAGCGCCATGCAACGTTTAAAAATTTCCGCCGCTATTTCATTTTTTTACAGAGAAATTATTGGTTGAATCTGTCTGAAAATTTCACTTAGTTTTATTGGCAGCAAAAAGAAAATTCAGTAAAATTTTCGGACGGATTTGTTGAACAATTTTTCTGTAAAAAAATAAAATGACTGCGGAAATTTTTAAACGTTGCATGGCGCTTGTGATACTTTACCTGGAAGGTGACGACATATGTGGCTGAAAAATTGGAAACTCTCATAGTTTTGCGAGCATCTAGGAGCTAGAGGCTTTCAATCGACCCAAAAATCGTAAAAATCGCCCCGGTAGATCTCTCAAAATAGGTGTCACAACAGGAACATACACCAATTCCCGGGAACTTAAGGCCGGAGGGGGGTAGATTTGGCTTTAAGAGCGTCTCAGGAAAGGGAGTCTGAAAAATTTGGAAGTCTGACAGTTTTGCGAGCATCTGGAAGCTAGAAGCTTGCAGTCGACCCAAAAATCGTAAAAATCGCCCCGGTAGATCTCTCAAATTAGGCGTTACAACGGAAACATACCGCAACTCTCGGAAACTTAAGGTCGGAGGGGGGTGGATTTGGCTTTAAGAGCGTCTCAAGCGAAAGAGGCTGAAAAATTTGGAAGTAAGAGCGTCTCAGGAAAAAGAGTCTGAAAAATTTGGAAGTCTGACAGTTTTTCGAGCATCTGGAAGCTAGAAGCTTGCAGTCGACCCAAAAATCGTAAAAATCGCCCCGGTAGATCTCTCAAATTAGGCGTTACAACGGAAACATACCGCAACTCTCGGAAACTTAAGGTCGGAGGGGGGTGGATTTGGCTTTAAGAGCGTCTCAAGCGAAAGAGGCTGAAAAATTTGGAAGTCTGAAAGTCTTGCGGACATCGGGACGTCAATAACTTTCACCTAAGTCAAGCTTCGTCGAAATCGGTCCGGTTAGAACTCCAGAAATAAGCGTTACAGTGAAACCCCCAACGATTTTATTTAAATAGATAATTTTTGGCTTGGAAATATTTGCCCGTCTTTTGCAGTCATGAGAATGTCCAATTCCATGTCATTCTACGTCTATTCTACGGTCATCGTGTACAGCGATTAAACCCCTGCCTAAGTAGGCATGCAAAATGTACTTCAAAACTTCATGACGTTTCATGACATCACCATGGCTTTGAGCGTGATCACTACCCTATGGATATTTCAAAAGTACCATTACCATTCACCATTTCTACCGAAGCTCTTATTTTCCTTTAAATTTTTTCAGTAATTTATTTCCGCCCATTTTTCTTTACGATTACATCCTAGTCATAGTACTTCACAAAGCTGAACTGGCATGAAAATGGTTAGTCCAATATTTCAATAACATTGTTCAATTAACTGCACGTGTCGCCCTGTTTTGTCATACTTCGTTTACTGTCAGTGAGTGGAGCTGGAACACTCTCTGTCTCGTCACCCGAGGTACGTTTTTCGGTTTTGGAGGCTAAAGAGGAAAAAGAAGTGCCATGCTGCCGGGAAAAGCAACCCAACCCCTGGGACGTTAGCGAATTCACAGGAATTCGTCCACTGTTGCAAAATGGGAGACAATACCCGTATTTCTCAGGTACTGGCCTGCCGACCATGGGGTGGCGCGGCGGATTGGGGGCTCAGTTTCCACCGAAAAGAACACTACTTCGATCTGACAATCGGGCCCATCCCCATCGGGCAGGGCTGCTCTTCAGCAACAAGTCAGGCATCATCAGGTTCGGGCACTTGACGGCGTGACGTCTCCTATCCACGGCTGCGGAACAACTGAATCTTAGTGAAAAGTTTTTCAAAACTGTGCGTGTAGGAATAACTGTCGAGACATTTTTGATACCCTACCACCTGTGTTACTATTGTTTTATTTAAAGTTCGCGTTTTAAAAGTTGCTGTAACGTGAGGCCGCATCTTGAACATGCCGAGACGACTAACCAAGACGAGGAAGCGTAGGAGTCGCACTTCGGTAAGTTGAAGCAAGTTTGCCTCTAATCTCCTTTAAACCCTTATTCCCTTTTTTCCGATTGTATACCTTTGTAATACCTACCCGGCACCGTGGTCCGTTCAAGGTCGGTTGATTGAGAAGTTCGGCCGCTACTTCGCTTTTTGTCTTTCGAAGCTGATTAAGCAGTATGAAATTCATAGCAGAGTTTCAAATAGGTTTTAAAAACAAATTTAATATCTAATTACCGATCGAATTTTACCGTCATGTTAACCGCAATGCTATATTTTCGACGCTGTCTATAAAATGCATTCTCAAATACTACGAATACTTTAGATTCCTCTCTTGTAGCTTGTAATGTATTTTTCCCTCCCCCCTCAATTTTTTCCCCTTCTTTTTTTTTCAAAAATGAGAGCGTGAAATTAGTATTTATTCCAGTTTTTACAAGTTTCTTTAGAATACACAGGGTGTCTCAAAAGTAAGTAACCACCTTCAATATCCTTTGAATGAATTCGAATATCGAAAAACGCAGAAATACGTGTAATATTCGGAAGTAGGGCATATTGTGTGCATATCTGAATTTTTGGGCCCACCCCTGTACCTCAAATATTTCTAATGTGTATTTCGAGTGTTCGTGGACCGACTTGGTTGAACTTGAGCGTGTGGGGGTCCGAGAAAAATGAATCTACCGTGGGCCTGTTGCAAACTTTTGCTAGAGCTAAAGGAAGAGTTGTTTCTATCAGTGAATGTCTCAAAAATCACGATGAGCGCATTGGCAAAGTTTCAAATGTGCACTTCTAACTTCACAATCTGCGTAAGAAATTAGCGTTTTTTTAGCCTCCCTCTTCCAAAACGATACTACGGCACAGGTGAACACTTCTTTAGATGAGTCGCTCCATTCAACCCTTCCGCAATAGCAGTACCCAACACAGCCGACGCTGCCGCGCGCAAATTGCAATCTGGAGCACAAGCAACCATAGTGAATCTTTATCAACGCGAAGAAATCGTTAATGTCAACACGCTGGAATGTTACAAATGGTTAGGATCTCGTCCACGCACATGTTTTTTGGCATCTGCCACGTTGAATATTGTATGGTTTCCTAGTGCACAGGGGTCGGATAGAGCGGCATCTCTAACGAAATGTTCACCTGTGTCGTAGTAGGTATCGTTTTTGAAGCGGGAGGCTAAAAAAAAAACGCAAATTTCTTACGCGAATTAGAGGTAGAAGAAATTTTAGAATTTTTTTTCTTTTTCTTTTTTTCTCTTTTTTTCACAGAGTTAGGAGTGCATTTCAAACTTTGCCAATGCGCAGCCGCCCTAATTTTTAAGGTGGAACCCTACTACTGTAGTTTAAAAAACCGCCACCACGTGACGCTTCGCCGAAATCTTTCGTTTTTTCCATGTTTTTCGATGCATCTGGGCGATTTGTTCAGACAAAAGCCAGACTTGCGAAATTTTCTTAAGGTTACTACAAAGATTATAGTATGCTGAGTAGTTATGTACAATCAGTTTCTTTCTGCGATCATTATTTGCGGAGAAACTATGCACGCGCCGCGATGAAAGTTCCGATTTCTGCGCATTTCAAAATGTGTCAAGTCATTCAAGCGACTTGTGACAGTCAATACAGCAAGCCTATGTGAATCCATTCTTTATCTTCTAAGGCAAGTTCTGGGGCCAGTCCAGAGCCTGAATAGAGTGTGGGAAAAACGAGAATTTTCAACTCTTTCGGGCTTAAAAGTAGGAAAAGTTCAATTTTGAATTTGGGCCCAAAGACGACGGTTGATCGTATTAAAGTATGTTACGTGTCTAGGTGTCCTTGACAGCACACTCGAAGCTCATCATCCGTCTCCTTTGGGCCCAGGTTGAAATCTTAGTTAGAACCACTGAAAACGCGAGATTTCAGCTATTTTGGGCTCCGGAGCTATGTTTAGGCCCCTGTTTCGCAGCCCAAAAACGTGAGTATCGGCAAATCTCAATTATTTCTGTGCAATATGCACCGTCAACTGCCAAATATCCAAAAATTTCTCGATTCCGTGGAAGGGCCGATTTTGGCCCAAATCGAAACCCCTCCTTTCTTTGGTTTCATGTCACCCTAGGGCACAATTGTTTTTGAAAGAACATCGGTCTGGTAGGAGAGCGAAGTGGAAAATTAAATTTTTAACCGGCAAAACGTGGGCGGATCCAAGGGGGTCGTAGAGTGCATACGTGGTGTGTTCAATAAGTTACCGGGCTGATGCCGCCTTGGCCTGAAAAATGATCCGATCAAGCTCAACTGGAGCTCATTTGAAAGCTTATAATCTCAAGAGTTCAGTGGTTTTGAGTTTTTGAAAAATATTTATTATTTTTTGTACGACGTCAATTTTACGGCGGCATGTTTGGCGCGCTTAGCGATTTATGTTGGAGGGCCAAATCATCGAGATCCATACGCTAGTGTGAGGTGTGTGCAACATACAAGTGCGTGCACAGAGGAAGCTGATGAGAATCAATTTTATACGTGGCCTACTTGGATATGGTAACCTAAACTTTAGCTGAATCTCTTTTTAACCCCAAAAGATGCGAGCTTAGTTCTGACCTCGCCAAAGTCAGTTCAGTGTGTTTCTAGCGAAAATGCTAGCTGAAATTGAGAAAATATTGAACATAAGGTTTTAACACTTTGTTAGTCACTTCGCTAACATTTTGCATTAAACATGCTATTTATTTAAAACTCAAGAGCAGAAGAGGCACAAGGCAAATATGAGCTGTAGAAATGCAAGTGAAAGCACCAATGATCCTGAAAACTGCGCAGGCCGCTCATCATCATTGATGACTTTCATGCAGAGCATCAACGCCTCATTTTGCGGGCCTTATTTTCGCAAAAAAAACTGCTCTAGAATATAACTTGGAGACCATGCACGACCTAGATTGGACTAAAGGAAATAGACGGCCCTCCCAAACTCACTTGCATTCAAATGAGCGGTTTTTTAATTTTGCAGTCTGAATTTTTCTGAATTCATAGGATAGTACCTATTGTTGAACTTTTGTTGGTTTGGTAACCATCTCGGTGACAATATCTTGCAAGGGTTCAATGAGACAATATGGAAAGTGCCCAAGAAATGATAGGCATATCTCGCATTGAGCCATAAAGAAACTTTTCTTCTCAATACCCTTTAAAATTAATGAAGCATCATCTGATCTCACATTGGAAATACAAATTACGGCGCATAACCCTCAAGCCTGTACATTTCCACGCCTTCGTGCAAGGAGATGAGAAGAAGGAACAATAAATTATGGGAACATTTTCTTAAGGTAATTCATCAAGCTCAAGTGACGTGGTCGAACTGCCATGCGATATATCGCATCTTTTAGGTCAAAAATCTCGACAGATTTTGAATTTTCAGCCAAAAAAAGGACGATAGCCCCTGCGCATGAGCCTGAAGAATCATTCTAAACCCGAGAATCGGCAAAATTCAGAGAGATGAAAGCAGGATAGTGTTCGGAAAAAAACCTCGCATTCGATACAGAAATCGATAGCTGAATCGAATGCGAGGTTTTTTTTCCAAACACTATCCTGCTTTCATTTCTCTGAATTTTGCCAATTTTTGGGTTTAGCATGATTCTTTAGGCTCACGCGCAGGGGCTATCGTCCTTTTTTTGGCTGAAAATTCAAAATCTGTCGAGATTTTTGACCTAAAAGGTGCGATATATCGCATGCCAGTTCAACCACGTCACTTGAGCTTGACGAATCACCTTAATTTAGGGTTATTCGCTAAAGTGAGTTTCAGCTCGCAAACGGACACAAATGTATGTTGGGCCAGAGTTGCCTTGAAAATAAGGTAATTTTGGGGAAAAATTTCAAAGAGAAGGTTCCTGTATTATACTCTCGAACGATCTGTGCGCTAACTAAAAGGTATGGCACGAGCTGTATTAATTTAGGGTACTAAATATGAGTCACGCAGTTTCCAAAAACGCATGACACCTTCACCTAAACTTAAATTAAATTAAATGTACTTTTTGAACGACCTTCATTTATTTTTTCATTGGTGCGCATTTTGTACAACTGCGGGACTCAAATTCCCTTGAAGCGTTATATTACTTGTTCATAAATTGATCCTCTTTAACATTACAAGTGTTATACATATATTTTCGCGAAAATTTCAACGATATGCGTTCTTTGACACTAAGGAAACTTTGAAAGTATGTCGTAGGTCTCCAGGACCGAAATTAGGGGGGGGGGGCACTTGGGCCGCGGCAGATGGCGGCAAATATAGGGGGGGGCAACAAATTTTGCGACTGTTTTAAGCTTACATGTAAAAAAAAATTCGGATTCAGAAAAAAATTAAGAACGAGTAAAGTCGGCAAACGCTCTTATTTCCCGGGAGTAAAAATATAATAATTTCTAATTTTGTCGTCTTTCGGTGGCACAAGAGATAGCAGATTTAACTTTCCCGCATAGCTCCGTACACTTTTGCTGGTGTGGACATCACTTTAAAAAATATGCGACTATCACGAGTAAACGCGACTTTGCACCCTTCCCCTTCCGTCTTGTAGTCTCCGACTTTTGGGACACCCTGTATGTGCTACTTAAAGTAACAAGGATGGCATCATTGAACGTCTCACGGAAATTCTTACATAAATATGCAAGAAACGGCCTAATTTCAATTATTTTTTTCTGTCTGAAGACTGCCTCAACGCCCATGCACACCAAGCAGATTAGTACCGTGATTTGGCGTGAGGAAGCTCCCCCATTACTTTTAATGCAATGTAGAAGTAAACAATGCTACAAAATCTAATCTTTAACAAAGTTCTATACACAATACTGTCTAACATGCAGTAATGATTAAAAAAAATTTAATACCTGATTCTTTCCGGGATCTAAACTCTGCAGGGGACCAACAGTTTTACTTCATTTTAAAAGGGTTGACAGAGGATCTTAATTTATCTACTGATTCCCCCATTTTGGACCACTGTGCGATAAAAATTTGTGAAGCTGAACACAATTTAATGCATTGAGGACCGATAAGAACATCGCTAGCCATGAAAACTGCAGGAGACCGACAATTTTCCATCCATTTTTAAAAATTTCACGAAGAATCCTGATTTGTCCACGATTTCTCCTCATTTTGGATCACTGTGTGACAGAAGTTTTTGAAACTGAACACAGTTATATGCTTGGGGGCCCAATAAGAACATTTACAGCCAAAACCCATTAAAGGTGTAACTTTTTCGTCCATTTTTCCCGTCTTTTTGCTGTAAAAATGCTGTCCAGAATGATGGCGATTTGGCAACTGTGCCCCCTCATTTCTCAATAACCGTGCGTATACCCAAGCTAAAATTTTTACCAGAGTTTTAGGATAGCATAAGGTATCGTTTGGGCCCGGTTTCAGAAAAATCCCTGCTGACCCAAATTGGGTCATTCTTGGCGTCGCTCTTTTTCCAGTTTATCAATCTTTATGATATGTAAACATTAAAGGGACCTATAAGGGCGATGTCTCAGCTTCTGCACATGAAAAAGCATATATTGATTAATTGTGAGCGGTGTTTTATTTATAAATGCTTATTTATAGATTGCGATTAATTCAGCGCATTAGATTTCTTTCAAAAATAATGCAGACCAAATATTTCGAACAAGCTCATTGAACGAGGAGTTACACCGTCCTTTAAAAAGCATTTCAGCCACCGCGCGTTGAAATTTTATAATATAGGTATCACGTTCAGTAAATGTAAAGCGCAGGACCGCAGCTGCAGCCATCATGCCCCAAAAAAGAGGCCAATCATCTTCTGTCAATTTACATCCCCTGGATACTGAATCATCGTTTATGCCACACTCACCACAGGTTGCTTTTGACGTCAAATTCAACGTCAACTATGCGTTAAAGACGTTAAAAGTAACTCGTGGCCAATAATAGACGCGATGATTTTAGTATCCAGGGGGTAAATGGACAAAAAAATTGGTCAAAAATCGTGAGACAGCTGGTTTTTCCTTTTTTTGGACTTGCGGCTTTCTAGGCTACTAGATTTCCTCCGTCCTGGAGTTGTATTTCTGTATATAGGTAAATATTTTAAGGTCTTGATCAAAATAAAGAGCCCATACCCTTCCCTTTTTTCAGCTACCCAGAGGCGGTAAAGTCCGACGAAAGCTACTTGGGTCAACATGCAAAATGCAGAAGGAAAACATTGAGCAAATGTTGGAGTATGCAACGAATTCAAGCGACGAATCAGATTCAGGCACCCAATCAACATCGTCTTTATCGTTTTCTCCAAATCCTGATCGTCCTGCGTCTGCAAGTTTTTCTCAATCTGTTTTCTCTCCTAAAACCCCGCTGTCTAGTAACTTGAACAATGTTCAGCCTACACGAAACACCTCACAACTTCCCATGAATGAGTCCTCGTCGACCTCCGGTTATTCTCAGCTCACTTTCAACCATCTTCAATCCAACTGTAACTCTCTTGAGACTCCACAAGACCTCTTTCCGTCAACCTCCAACGGGCTCATGTCGACCCCAAACTCATCTCAGATTTCCTCAAATTTTCTTAACGTTTCCCCTAACTGCCCGCACTCATCCACTTCAAATTATTCTCACTTCAATTCAGATAATCCGCAATCCAACACAAAACATCTATCTGCCCCCAATCATCCGCACTCTGACCCAAATAATCCTAACAGTACCTCTGCACATCCTCGGTCTGATTCAAATTCTTTGCCGTCCACACCAAATCCCCAATCAAACCCAGATCCGACCACACTCACCATCTCATCCAACACCACATCCACCATCACATCCATCGCCACAACCACCACCAGATCCGACACCACATCCAGCACCGCATCCAACACCGCATCCAACACCGCATCCAACACCGCATCCAACACCGCATCCAACACCACATCCAACACCGCATCCAACACCACATTCACCACACCCACTACACCCATCACCATATTCACCACATCCGCCACATCCAATCCTTTTGAACTAGGCGCGAGCTGGGTCAAGGAGAAATTGCAAAAATACGAGGACGGCAGAGTAGTTTTAAAATACTACAATGAGAAAAAGTACTTGGTTAAAGCTATGCGGAAGAAGCTAGCCGAAACCCTAATAAAAGCAGAGCTAGAGACCGATCCTTCCAAGATTCCGCAGCCGGAAAGATTTTCACGTATAGCTGCAGCTGTGTGCAAGTACTTCACTACCGAAACACCAAGTACATACTATATTCCTTATTCGAATGATGGACTGGGTAAAAAACACGGAGCCAAGGGCCTTCTTGTTGACAAATTTAACTACAAGCGGAGAGGATTCATTTCTTGGGGTATTGTTCAACCAAAACGCCGAGCCAAACAATCTGATTTGACTGGTATGAGCTAATTTACTCTTTTCACGTCTGCCTTTTTTTTTCATATCGACGGTGTAAGTCCGTAACCACGAACCTTGGTTGCGGTGGTTAAAAATCTCCGCTCTTATTTTATTTTTTTAAAGGAGAACAAACTGACATTATTCCTTGAAGTATCCGCAGAATTTTCTTTGTTCAAGGAAGAAAAATAATGGCAGTTTGTAGGAATTGCCAAAGAGTAGTTTTCAATTTAAAAAATGAAGTATGACAGGAAGTCTGCCACGTCGCAAACCGAGATACGTGGTTGCAGACTTACACCGTCGATATGTCTATGAATGTATAAATCATCAAATCGATAGTCTTGCATAAATCACGCACCTTAATTCCAATATAAGCTTCCAATCCAAAATTAAGTTTCAATATAATTTTCGCTACTGACAGTTTAATTTTTTCTTGAAGAGAAATGAGGCATCTTTCTTACTATTGAACAATATTTTCACAGCTATATTTTCATAGGATAGGTAATATTTTAACTGCAGAAACAGTTTCTTAGAAATGACTCAAATTAATTTTTTAAAGTACAAAAATAATTTTTTTTTTTTTTTTTTTTTTTTTTTTTTTTTTTTTTTTAAGACCTTGGTTTACCGTCCGCACCTCCTTATTTAGGAATTAGCGGTTCAAATAAAATATGACTACCTATAAGTGCGCTATATTGCAAACCGAGATACGTGAAGTTCGAGTGTAACTATCAATTCGTATACATTTCCTTCGTGTACAATTAACAAGGTGTCATCCCTACTTTTTGATGAATGTGCTAATTGGAGACCTCTGTGCCTAGAATTTTACTGATGCGGTTGGAGTCAGGTACACCAGTCACAGCATTGCGTTTTCACGGGTGCCGAGGATAAAGTAAGATAAAATATTAGATCTGTTCAACCCCCGAGGTTCTCCAGTAATAACGAAGATATTACCCTTGAAAAAACCGCGTATTATTGCCATCTATCGCGGAAGGTGGAAGAAATCATGATGAGTACTTTTGAAGTGAATGACGTTCTTCTATGTATTTTGTCAAAGGGCAATATCTCCTTTGTTATTGGATATAGAAACATGGCACTTGAACCGATCTTACTATTTTTTGCAGCTCTATTGTTTATGTAACCATGAAATTACGACTCTTAGACCAGCGGAACTAATCCATTATTTTATGTTTTTCACCCGTAGGTGGCGAAGATGGCGAGTTTAGTATAACAGGCATAACTAATGAAATAAAAGATAGCGAAGTTTGGTGCCGCCATAACTCTGAACCGGTGGAAGAACTAATGATAAACTGGCGTTCAACTCATCGTCTCCGGCTTCATTTATTTTTCACCTCTGATAAAGATCCGTACGCCTACATCAACACTTATCCAGCCCTTACAAAGGAAAGAGGGTTCACATTGGTAAGTGGATTGAATGGGTGAGAGCTTGATCGATTTAGGCATTTTAAATCTGATTTAAAATATAAAATGAAATATTACATTAGGGAATAATCATAAAATAATTATCGATAAAGATGAAACATAATAAGGGAGCAATGCAGGTTTANGGGGGGGGGGGGGGGGTGTCGCCTGCAATTTCTCAGTTATGCCCCTTTTTCTATATGTAAGAGTATTTGCATCTGCAGACACTGGAAGCAATCACGTAAAAGGCCAAAAGGGGCCTCTAAATTAGTCTGTTATTTGTTCTTGTTTTTTAAGAAGGGTCGTAGTAGTAGGTACCTATTTGGTTTGCATGAAGATAAGTGTACGGCATGAAGTAGTAATTTTATATTTTGCCGGTTTAGACCGAGGTTTGACTTTCACTGTAAAAATATTTTTGGCTCAAGTATGCTGTTTCTGAAACTTACCCACAATAATTTCTTTATCTTTACCTATTAAAATTCAATTATCCTAGAAACTTAAAATGGTTGAACTAAGCAACAAAGTACGATTTAAATCGAACAGCGTCACATGTTTTGATTCAAGAAGAAATATTTCTTGCGACAAATTTAAGGATTGTCAAACTTGTTTCAAACTTTTTTTTCAGTGGGGATCTCAAACTACCTATCGGTGCATATAGTTTCACAAAGTTGTAGGTACCTATTCGAAAAAGAGCATTTCATTTAAAAAAATAAATGCACGGTATCATGAATACTAATTTTATGTTTATTTTGGGTTTAGATTGACGCTGACTTTGCGCTCTCGAAACCGCACTGTGGAAATGCATTGCTCCTGAAATGGCCACAGATTAGGGACAAACTCTTAAGTTATGGCGAAAGAGAATTAGGTCTCAACCCGAAGTATTTCGCTGCTGTATTATCATCTTTAAACGTCGATCTCACAAGTGATGGTAAGAAAGTTTCGTTTCTTTGCTATTTTCTTACGTTTACCTAGGGGTGGATGCTCCTTTTCTCTCTTTATTTATTTATTTCTTTCTTTCTTTCTTTTTTCTTTCTCTCTAAGAAAGAAAAATACTGAAACGGTAGGAATGTCCGTGAACTTAGCCCCCCCACCTCCCCAAAAATTAAAAAATGCATCGTCAGGAATTTGCTCACCTTTTGCACAGGTGGAAAAACAACTTTTTAGCAATTGCTCACCTTCCCTTCCCCCCAAATTTCAATTCGAAATTCCCTATGGACCCCCAAAGTGCCAGCCCCCCGACCTTGTCCGATCGACTTCAAATCGATGTCAAACAATTGCTCTTGAATTGCTCAGAATAGCTCACCAAAAATTAGGAATTGCTCACCCACCCTTCCCCCCCCCCCTCAGAATGAGGGTGCCACCTGGTGCTCCAAAACATGCCAGCACCCCGATATCGTCGGATCGACTTGAAAGATTGAGAAATTGCGGGGGTTTGCGGGGGTCTCACGACATCTCCTGAGAGGAAGGCAAGCAATTAGTCATACATATGCACTGAGGTTGCCTACCTTTACGGGCGCTTTTGCCTCCCCAGTCCATAAACCAATTCCTCCGGTAACCCCAGTTAGTTCGATAGCATTCTTGGCTCATGGGTGGTCTGCTAGGTCTACAGGGTGGATGTGACCAGCAGGAAGTGGTGAAAAACGCCGAGCTTATCATCTGTTATAAGCTAACATTTGTTTATGGATTGGGGTGGTAAAAGCGCCCGTAAATGTAGGCAACATCGGTGCATTTGTACGACTGATTGGTTGCCTACCTCTCAGGAGATTTCGGAAGACGAGATTTCTTTTACCCCGCAGTTAAGAGCTTTTCCATCAGTTTTTCGTTAAATAAACAGCATACCTTATTTTCTAATATTTCACGAGCTTTTTTACATTTTGCAGTCGGAATTTAAAAATTTTCATCGGCTCAAAATGTACAGCCATTTTTACAGTACAGATGTTGCCTACCGGCTTTTCACGAAATCGCAGGCATTTGAAACTACCATAAATGAAGCGAACGCTGGAAGTTACCCCCAAACATACAATTTTCGTTGACATTTGACACCTTGGGACAGAGTTATGGGCAAATTTCGAGGGGAAACCCTCAACTTTGATGGGCTGAGGTGTCGAAAAAAAGCGTTTCCAGCAAAAATGTCTAGAATAACAAAGTCCTCTTTTGACCTAAAAAATTGATCCCCAAAGTCAGGTACAATAACCCTGTATAGTTTCCGAAGTGAGAAAAGGTAAAATTGATCATGTCAATACAGGTTGGAGTATCTTCCATTCCCACAGGACGTCCCTACATTTTTTGACAATCTATATGAGAAGGTGAGGAGTTCTTTGCAACAAGTACGTGTAATTGGACGTATTTATGCCAAAAGGAACTTTGTTGCACCCAAACCCTATTGACTTAGTATTCCCCTAGTAGCATAAATGCGTCCAATTATGCTCTGCAGTATTATAAGATTAAAGTACAGCCGAACGGTTGGAAAACCACATTGAAATACACTTTGGAAAAATCTGAATTGTCACTATAATAATAATTATTACCATGCGTGTGTTCGTTTACATTTCCACAAATTATACGTCCGAGGTTTTCAATCTCAGCAGCATCGCAAAACTTAAAGTTCTTGTTGCAAAAGAATTTATTTTATTATAGATATTCTCGTTTACATCCACAAACCGATATTCCTTATAAGATATCTAATTTCCATTTTAATTTTCACTTTCAGTTGAGCAGATCAAGGAAATCAATGCCATATCTTTACTTCCGGCATTGTTGCCAACAACGACTATCAAAAAAAGTTGGAGGATTTCAAAAATAGAGGCAAAGAATGGGTTTTTAATCCACGCAGAAACTGAGAAAGCTGCACTTGAGATAGTGACCTCGCGTAATGCGCGTTTGAATCAATTCGGATACGACGTTCAGCCTGTGGCGGTGGTGGTGGGCCAATTTCCAAGACTGGAGTACTTGGTAGTGTATAAAGACGTTAAATATGTTTGCGAAACTGCTTTGAAAGCTATAGATATTGTATTTAAACTTTTTATTTTGTTAGATGTCGGTTTCCCACCAGATTCTTCTTTGTGTTGGGCATTCCTTCGGGAGCATGTGTATAAGTTAGATATGCTGGGTAGCAGTAGAGGATCCCCTCATGTTAAGACACTGGCAAACGATCTAAAATTGTAAGCAACAGCCTTGTAAGTTGTGTGAGTGAAAACTGGCATACATCATTTGGATGCGTTACTGAAAATTAGGGTTAAGCATTATTATCATGTCATTTATTGTTAGTGTGCCTTTTTTATTTTTTTATATTTCAACTTAAAATTCATTTTACACATCAAGATTCATAAGAAAGATATTTTAAGGTATAGTTTAATATTTTCACTCCATTATCATGGCTCATTGTTTCAAGTGTCGAGGCGAGTCCCCCTTTCCCTCCGTAAAAGATCTCATTTCTCATTTTGTAACTCAGCATAAAATGAAAGCATGTGAGCCTATTACTTGCTCCTTCAATCACTGCCCCCGTACTTGCACTAATAGAAAGGGATTTATCAAACATTTCAATGATATGCACGGCGTTAAATCTGACAATACGAAAAAATCAGTTATATTAAATAGTCAACACTTTTCTTCTCAAAGCATTGCGACAAATAGTGGAATAGGCTCGACAACTCTTGAGACTTCTGGACCATTAAATTTTGAGGTTGAGCCTTCGCCTGAACAGGTGACTAGTGTATCACCTCTGCAATCAGATTTTCAACTGATAACCATCGAAGAAAGAGTTTTTGGTTTTCTTAGCTTATTACATAGTTTCCCTGGCATTCCATCTTCTAATATTCAAATGACGATAGAGGGTGTCACAAACTTGCTCCATGGTATGCACGACGTATATCGGGGAAAGATCCAAAATGTTTGTGAAAATTTGGACAAGGAGACTGCTCTCCATATTGTCACTAGTTTAAATAACACCTTTACTGCTTCTGAAGATGTGTTTAGTAAGTTTAAAACAACTTACCGCCAAGTGAATATGTTTGAAAAAAGTAGTTTCTATATACCTCCTAAGCTGAACACCCTAGGTTATGTTTCTAAAAAGAAAAAAATTCGCGGTATTTACAGGAGAACATGGGTCAAAGAGCATGCTGTTATCATACCTCTACGCGAAGTCTTAAAGCAATATTTAAGCCAAAAACAAGTTCTTGAGAGTATACAATTATATTTAAAAAGATTAGATGAGGATAGAGAGGTTTTATCAAATATTGTGCAAGGTAACTGTTGGCAAAATTCGTCTCTACAAAAAGATGATGGGATAGTACTGCCTTTGATTCTATTTAATGATGATTTGGAGTGCGATAATGCACTTGGTGGTCATGCTGGAACGAATAAAATCAATGCTACTTATTTCTCTATTCCTTGCATGCTTCCAGAGAAAAGATCCTCTTTGATCAGTTACTTCGTTGCTCTTTTAACAAAAGCAAAAAATAAGAAGCGTTTCGGTAACTGGAAACTTTTTCGGCCAATTATTGAAGAACTTAACTTTTTGGCTAAGAAAGGCATTACCGTTTCATCATCAGACGGCGAAAAACAAAAAATATATTTCCTGTTATCAACATTAGCAGGTGACAATCTGGGTCTAAATGGGATAGGAGGATTTGTGGAAAATTTTTCTCGTAGTAAGTATTGTTGCAGGATATGCTCTGCTGACAAAGTACAGAGAGGGAGTATCACCATTGAGAGAGCGGAACTTCTCAGAAAGACAGAAACCTACGATGCTCAAGTAGCAATGAAACGCCCCTCAACGACCGGAATTAAAGAAAAGTGTGCTTTCAACAAAGTTACCAGGTTCCATATTCTAAAAAAATGCTCCTTAGATATTTTACATGATCTTTTCGAGGGTATTGTTAAAAGTGAATTAATCCTTATTCTTAGAGTATTTATCTTCAGGAGGCGTTATTTTACAGTGTCCGATTTAAATTCCCGCATTCAATCCTTTGAATACGGCCCTGCAGATTTTTCTAATAAACCTCCTCTCTTTCAGAAAGATTTCTTAAAGAGGAACAAGGTTAAAGTTTCAGCTTCTGAGTGTATATGTCTGCTGAAGTACTTTGGCCTCTTATTTGCTGATGTTGTGAACGAGAATGACGAATTCTGGCAGCTTTACTTATCTCTCCGTAAAATAGTTGATGTAGTAATGAGCCCATCTATCCCCAAAGAAGCTCTTCCTTTACTTGCAATGTATATCCAAGATCACCACTCTTTGTATATGAACTTAACAGGGAAACCACTGAGTTTTAAGCATCACAACTTGATCCATTATCCCAGATTGATTGCTGAATTAGGACCCCTTGTCCATATATGGACAATGAGATGGGAAGGTAAACATCGCACCCTAAAGAAAGTTACCAACTCTGTTGCAACAAGGAAAAATATATGCCTCACAGCGGGTAAAAAGTGTCAACTTCAGTTAAGTCATGCTTTTTATTCGGGTTCGTTTAGCAAAAGCGCACCAATAGTAGGACCATTGGATTCCAATACAAGTCCCGAACTTTTTCGCCGAAAATGTGTCGGGCAAGTTTTCACAACCACTTTACCAGACATGAGCACTTTAACGAACGAAGGAAAACTAGTTCGATGGGTCGAGTTGAATGGCACAAAATACTCGAAAGGTGTTACTTTGTATCAAGATATTGATGAAGAAACAAGTTTCCCCATTTTCGGATGTGTTGAAGACATTCTCGTCACAAAAAATCAAGAAGTTTATTTTTTGCTTCGTAATTTTCAAACTATTTGCTTCAACAAAAAACGTCATGCTTTTTTAATTCAACCTATCGATTCGTATTCTTTTCTTAAGAGTAATCGACTACACGATTTTCACTTGCACACAGCCGTGCCAGGTGCAGCTGGCAATGCTTTTGTGACTTTGCTTCATAATTTTTAATTTGAATTTTCTTATGCTTTATTTTATAAAATTTGTCTTGTATTTTATGAATAAATTTGATTATTTTTTCATCAAATATGTTTCCTGATTGCTCGTTGTAACGTTTTCCACATAATTCAAAAATGTTCGGATCTTGCCAGTCGGATTTTTTTGTTTTATTTTTGTCGCTATTCTTGTTCTTCAATTTAGAAACTCCAAAAATATTAAAAACAAGAGTATAAAATTATATTTTCCTGTTGCACTGTCTGTCTTGAAACTTAGCGACAAAAAAAGGAAGAGAGTAAGAAAGATCGAGACATATACTGTATATGTATTCAGTATCGACTTTTTTTAGAGAACGACCAACGCAGAAATCCAAATTGGAGCCTAGTACTTAAGCACTCACAACTTTAGACAAAGTATACAAAACTGGACAGTGATAAAAAGGATCGTTTGTTTCTTTCTTTCTTTCTTTCCTTTTTCTTTACTGCTAACTTACCTATGTTTGCGTTTTCAAAGTCGTAAATTGGTAATTTTTTTTGAAACTGTTAAATTGAAGAGCAAATTAACGTTTTTTTAAATCAACATATTTGATGCTGCTGAAATGGAATGAAACTTATTGCGGAAACTGAGAAAAACTTTCTTTTCTATTCAAACCCATTTTTATGTCTTTTAATGCTTTCTTACTCAGCAGTACTGAATTTATTATTTTACAATAGTGAATTTTTCCTCTGTCATAGGACAATTTAATTTTAAACATCATTTTATGGAACGCCACTCTTTAAAATTATATCGAAAAGAGCAATAGAATTCTCAATTTCTAGGATGAAAAATTATATGCGAAAATGTAACTTCATAGGGAATTTTAAGAATTTATTTAATTTTAAGAAAAAAATTCTTCATCAAATAAATTTTAAAAATGTCCTTTGCAGATTTATCAACTCGCACTAAAAATTTAGTAAACGTTAGAGATAAAACTCGGCAACATAGTTTGCTGATTTTTGAACTACATTTTGGAAAAATATCCGTATCGATGGGAGCATTTTACACAATGTTTTGTAAAATTATCTCGCTGTGGAAAAAAAATTCAAAATCCTTCATTGAAAAATTATCAGGAAAACCTGAATATTTGGCAAAGCCTGAATGGATAATTTCACACCCCGGAATGTGAATTTTGAAAACTATATGTTTTGATAGAATATCAGCACAGTTGAGAAAATTTTACAAAACGGTGAGTTGTAAAAAAAGCCGCATCGCATTCCTAAAATGTCAAATCATTCATTTCAAAATTAACAATCCACACTGAAAATTTTGCATTCTATTTATTATGCAAAATTTGAGAAACGGTGGTTTGTTATTTTATAACAACGTTCGCCTGTGGCGTTTTTTTACAATTCAATTTTGCGAAATTTTCATTCTGCACTTAATATTTAACAAATAATTTTTTTCGGTGTATTTTTACTATTTTTTTCAGGTAAGAATACCACTTTTATTGGTGACCAATTCTCGGTAACTTTGCCATTTTATCTCGGTAACTTTGCCATTTTATCTCGGTAATTCTACCACAGTCGATAAAAAATATTGGCGTTCTTACCAAGGTCCAGTAAACTTACCGAGAAAGTTCAATAATCTTACCGAGATTTCTCGGTAAAATTACCAATTCCATAAATGGTAATTTTACCAAGAAAAAACCGGGATCACATAGAACCCTGAATTCTTGGTAATTTTACTCTTTTCTTAGTAAATACACCGAGATTTTTTTTCAGTGAGCTATTTGTAATATTTTATAAATTTAATACTTGTATACCTTAAAAAATGTCAAGAGCTCGTTTTATAAACCCAAAATTTTGGATCAAATAAAAAACTATCTATATATCTATCTACCTATCCACCTATCCACCTATCCACCTATCCACCTATCCATCTATCCACCTATCCACCTATCCACCTATCCACCTACCCACCTATCCACCTATCCACCTATCCATCTATCCATCTATCCATCTATCTATCTATCTATCTTTCTATCTATTTATCTATTTATGTATCTATCTATTTATTTATCTATAAGTACTTAGAAAAACATTTAATACCTCACCGGAGCTCGATGCCGAGATTAACGCGTGACGAACGTCGGAAAAGCGGGCGATTTTCCGGCAGGATTGGAACGAGGTTAACGGGGAAATTCGCGGCGACCCGGTTAGGATGTCGTCAAAGGCGTTAAACGACGGACGCGGACCGGGCTATCAATTGTGAAATTACTTACAAAGAATTTGAAGCG